GATCTGGGTGTCCTTCTCCTCCGCCCTCCTCCTCCAGTTGGCGGCGAGCGAGGGGGGGAAATGAGAAGGGGAAGGCCTCCCCAGAAGGCGGCGGGACTTCTCAAAGCCCTCGCGCCTTCTGAGAAGTTTCCTGTGTCTACGGGAAAGTCTTAGAAAACTTCTTGGAAGGCCCTTGGGATTTCCGAGCCTTCTGAGAAGGCCTGCCCCTTCACAATTTCGCAATCTGAATACTAATCTCCCCTCTCCCCTGATGACGTCCGGAAGATATTCGGCCCCCCTCCGCGTACGGTTTTTTGCACACAGGATTCCCTGGACATGTGTTTTCGCTTGGGCTTGTTTTCAAAATGTTGTTCCCGCTGCAGCACTGGCCTCATTTTCGGGATTCCGCTCGTTCCGAATCGCGCTCCCGCTGCAGCGCTGGCCTCATTTCCGCGCTTCCGCTCGTTCCGAATCGTGCTCCCGCTGCAGCGCTGGCCTCATTTCCGCGCTTCCGCTCGTTCCAAATCGTGATCCCGCTGCGGCGCTGGCGTCATTATTTCCTGTGCCATGCCACGGCATGGCTTTCGGTCCTTCCAAATAGGCCCCCAAATCTAGAAAACGGCCCCCCGAAAAAACAATCGGACGTGATTACACACTCGGTGCCGATTCCTTGTTTTATTTCGGCCGCAGAAGCCCCCCCCACTTTGGGGCGTCGCCACGCCGTGCTCTTTCATGCTACTCGTTGATCTCCAACAACATGCTATGACATGTCATGCTATGCCATGCTAGGACATCCGACTGGGCGAATCGAGAGGAGATCTACGCCATGGCAAGGGATGTGAGGGAGAGGTAGGCCGTCAGATAGGACTGGAGCGCACCTAGCTTGTCACTTCCCCCCCGCGCTCGCCGCCGATCGTCGACTCCTCCGACTCTCCCCCAGACCCCCGCCGTCGTGATTTTGTCACAACGTCGACCCCCAGAGGTCTCGACCCCTTCCCCAGGACCGGTTTTTCGTTCCGAGTCGTTCTTTGACGGCCCCGAGCCCAAGTAAGGATCCCTGGAGGCCGAAAATGGCCAAAACCTCCTGTCGCGACTTTGTCGGGGGCGTCCAAGAAGGGGTCGTCCAAGAGGGGGCGGGGGCGCGAATCATGGCCCGAGGCATGTGCGCGGCCGCGGGGGGGGGGAGGCCGGGGACGTACTGACATGAGAAGATGCGCCATGACATCTGGGGAGATATCACGGCCCCCGCCGTGGTAGCCCCCCCCCCTGGTCATCACCCCCCTCTTTGCCGCCCCCTTTTATTTTTTTTTTGCGGCGCGCCGATCCAGGGTTAAGTCGGGCCTGTCCCCTTCCAGGCCGATTTTGGACGACAAGTTAAAGACAGTTAAAACATACCCCAACTTCAATCCAGGGCTAGGGGGCCCCGCGCGAACCCTACCCCTACCCCCCATGATCTCTGCGGGGGAGGGTGGGCTTCACTTCGCTCGGGAGCTCCCGAACGAAGGGAACCCCACCCGCCCCCTCAGAAATCGTGGGGGGTAGGGGTAGGCCCAGACCCCCGACGTCATGATTTTTCATGACACGACACCCAGAGGTCCGGACCTATTCGCCGGGACCGGTTTTTCACCCCGAGTCGTTTATTGACGGTCCCGAGGGCCGGTAAGGGCCCCGGAGGCCGAAAACATAGAAAAACCTCCCGTTGTGATTTTTTCATGACTCGAGGGGGTCTGGGGGGTTCGCACGTGGCCCCCTGAAGGCCCCGTCGCCGGGGCGCCCGTGGTCGCCTCCTGGGCCCCCCCGGGTCTCCGCGGCGATCGGCGCGGCATGCCGCCCCCGGGCGCGGCGCGGGCCGCGGCCGCGGCCGCGGCCCGGGGCGCGGACGAGCTCGAGGGGGGCGGCGGCGATGGCGGCGGTGACGCTGGCGATGGAAATGCCGTCGACGACGACGATGATGCTGATGCTGATGATGAGGATGGTGATCATGAGGAGGATGCGGATGAGGATGAGGATGACGATGATGCTGATGCTGCTGCTGATGCTGAGGATGATGAGGGTGATGATGACGTTGAGGATTGGTGACTGATGGTTGACGGTTGATGGTGGGCGCTGATGATGATGATGCTGCTGATGATGATGATGATGATGATGATGATGATGATCACGATGGCGATGATGACGACGATGATGATAGTGATGGTGATGGTGATGGTGATGGTGATGGTGACGGTGACGGTGACGGTGACGGTGACGGTGACGGTGATGGTGATGGTGATGATGATGATGATGATGATGATGATGATGATGATGATGGTGGTGGTGGTGGTGGTGATGGTGATGATGACGACGACGATGAAGATGATGCTGATGATGATGGTGATGATGACGATGCTGATGGGGAGGCCCGGTGTTGAGCGTCATCGTTCACCTGCGCCACATCGGCTCACTGGGGGCTGATGCGCTCAGAGACCGCCGGGATCCACTCGTCTCTGAAGTCGCCGAAGCCGTCGTAGTGGACTTTCAC